AGTATTTGTCCTTTTATGACTGAGATAATTCACTCAGCATAATGTCCTCCAGGGTCACCCATTTTGAATAATATTGCATGAATTCCTTGTTTTTCAATGCAGCGTAGTACTCCACTGTGTGAAGATACCACAGCTTCTCTATGCATTCATTTGTTGATGGGCACTTAGGTTGTTTTCAACTCCTTGCTATTGTGGACAAAGCAGCAATAAACATGGGTGTGCATCCAGCTGCTCTTAAAAGCTGCAGCTATAGTTCTGTGTAGCTGTCAGTAAGGGGGAGAGAAGCAAGCTAGCTAATCACCATACACTGTACTTTATATAGCTCACGTGTTCATGGAGTATTTCCCTAGAACTATTATTTCAACTTTAGGGAAACAAACAACTTACACCTTGCCCAGGATCACAAAGGTAGTTAACAGAAAAAGAAAGGAAGGACATGCAGGCTAGCTAGCACAGCCTGGTACGGATGTCTTAATACATCCCACTGTCTTTCCAAGTAGAGTGTATCGAGACAACATCCTCTACGTGGAAGGAAGAACATATGTCAGAAAGAGAAACACAATCCTTTAAAAAATAAAACAGCCCACACAGTTTGTAATTAAAAACACGAAGTGTCTGGTAGTGCTTGAAATCTAAGGTGGAATTACAGAGGTCTGCTTACACAGCAAGTTAAAAATCACAAAACATTTATTTGTTTATAATGGAGTCTGGAAAGGAAATTTTGAGAAACTTTTCAGAATCATGCTGTCAGCAAAAAGGACTCAAATTCTTAGCTTTTAAGTACAATAAGTAAAGCAAAATGTGAACTTCCCATTAGAGTTGAGTCATATAAATGACTTGAAAGGTACTGCTGAGCCTCAAATTCTCACTCATATTACACTGCACAGAGACAGGTATGATCTAATTTTATAAGGCAAAAATAACGACTTCCATTTATGGTAACATTTTAAAACAAAATGACATCTCAAAGCATCATTTATACATAAAAGGGTTCAAGTTTTACCACAAGATAAAGGTAAACAATAGAGATACCATTTGACCCAGCAATTCCACTACTGGGAATATACCCCAAAGAGACCGTAACAGACAATCAAGCAGATA